CATTTTTTTTTTTTTTCTAATATTGAAGTTAATTTTAATATTTTTGAAAGTATATTTCTTATAAATAAAATACATATTTAAATATTATGGATATGTATTACTTATTATATCATTTACTCTAGACATTTGAATATTTAAACTATCAAAATATTGAATAAAAAAAATTATTTTATTTTATTACTTAAAACATATTTAAAAATATTAATAAATTAAAAACTGGTCCAACCAGATTCAATCATGGTTCGATCAACAAACTATTGAACGCTAGTCGCCTAACATGTTCGATGACCATTTTGATTCTCATAACTTTGTTTGCAGCCCTAATTATTGATAACTTTCAAACAAAAAAAAAAGGGAAAAAAGGCACAAATAATTAACCAGAAAGTATCCTCGAGCTGGTTCACTTTTTCTACATGAGCCAAACTCGGACACTTTGCATAATGGCTCGGCTCAACTCGACTCAGCTTATTCATATCCCTCATTATCAATAATTATTACCAAAGGAATTCCAAAGAAAACGGGCACAAATGAGAACCACCAAAATGAAGAGACGAGACAACTTTAAGAAACTTTGATCCATTACATATTATATAAATGCCAAAAAATGACAAACATCCACGACCACGAAACAAGTAACATTTTAAGAGATGCACAATAGTACCACAAATCAGCCACTATAAACCTTATTATAGAGAGAGAGAGAGAGAGAGAGAGAGAGAGAGAGAGAGAGAGAGAGTATTGCTGGCAAATGGCAATCATCGATCGGACGTTAAGGTGGGCCGGGCTGCGGTTCCTGAACTTTGTTGTGCCCTTTGTTCGATCCACTAGGAACCATTCTCAGAATTCGGGCATCAAAGCGCCGGGCCTTCAGTAATGGTGGTGTTGGGCCTGCTTTGAGTGGTGGCCCATTAACTAAGTCCGACTGGGCCATAGCCGGAACTGATGCAAAAACAGCCCGGAAAAGAATCAAAAACAGCAAAATGTTCAGTATTTTCCACATTTTGTTTATTTCGTGTTGTTGAGTGTACTTTATATAGGAAAATTTGAGGTGATACAAATTAAGTGGCTTAATTAAAGTCGCGTTGTAAATCATTACGATTACGGATATCGGCCGTAAGTTGTCCGTTTCCACTCTTTTCCTTTCTTCACTTTTATTGACTATGTTGTATGAGTTGTTTAAGCCGAGTTTAAGCTCATAGTACTAGAGCTCGACGACCACGATTCATTTATCAATATTAATGAGACGAGATAGAGTCTTAGCAAGTCGAATTATAGAAAATATGAAAATAATCTTCGAACTTTTCGAGCTGAGCCGAGCTTACGAGCAGTCGTTTCGTGTACAAATTCTAACCATGTTGTATCAAAAAACGAAGTTGAAGAGTATATATACATAAATTTCATAAGAACATATTCAGAGTTCACTGGAAAATATCAAATTCCAACATAAAATTCAATAAAAGAAAAAAATCGAACATAAATTTCTATAATATTTCGATGTTATAACTTTTATTGTACTAATACTATATTTGCAGTTAGATTTTTTTTTTTAATAATTCTAGTTGAAATTTGATGATTCTAACAACACATTTTTTCCAACGGTTTACGTTTATAATCATCTCTGTTGCAATATATAATTTTTATTGTAATTGTCATTGAATCGTCAAAATCTAACAGAAAATTTCATGAAAAATCAATTCCAATGAATTGAAATAGTTGTTATAATTTTTCAACTAGCTTCATAATATTTAAATATCTATCAAAATTACCGTTAAAATATGTTAAGTAGCTAGATTTTTTATTTTTATTTTTTTTTCTATTCCCAAAACTCACTTAAGAATAATTACGTCAGCTAACACAAGAAAAAAAAAAAATTCAAGATTACGTCAACCAGCTCAAGCCACACTTATTAAACATTTTTGACAAGTCAATATTACGTCAGCTAACTCAAGATTAACTTTAAATTGTAAAAAAAGTGCATGGTGTTTTAGACTTTTAAGCAGATTTTTTGACAAAATATGCACGCGGGATACTATTATTTATGCGTCCTCTCTTTATTTTTCACTAAATATTCCTTAATACAATCCTAAGTAGATCTTTGATAATCCCTCCATATATATGTGTTGGAAAAAATCAGTTATAAAAAAAATCAGTTATATACGAATTCGACATTTGTTGAGCTTAAGTGACATCTTTTCACGTTTCAGATGACATGACAAAAATTTATGGTTCGTGATGTTGTTTTTATATTATTTTTGCTCTGGAGTTAAGTTTAGTATTCAACATGAATAACTTTTATTATATATTTCTTAAGTCAGTACCTATTTATACACGAATATTGTACTAGTTAATTTAGTATTACGGTTAGTCTCCTATTTAGAGTGCAAACGGAGCTCGTTCAATAAATAAGATGAAAGAGTTAAAAAAAAAAGGTGATTTTAAAAAAATTGAGATAAAATTAAAATTTTGAATGAATATAAGATAAAAAAAAATAATAACTAAAGTTGATATATGTTTCTTATACAGAATTGATT